CCACAGGAGCAGGGCTCCCCTCTGCCGGAGCGTGTGGCCTGTGCGGGGGTGGGGGCCGTGTGGAGGAGGGGTTTTACCTCTCAGCATGGTCACTGGGGAAATGGTTTTAAAGCTCCTGGATCTTTCTGTCTCTTGTCCTGACTTGATCCTCGGCCTCTTCTTGCCTGGGCGGGAGCTGCTGCCCGCGTGGCTGTCCTGACCGCAGGCCCAGTGCCCACTGTCCTGCCCAGCTTGGCGCGGGCAGCAGGAGGACGCGGCATGTGTCCCTGAGCTGGGCACAAGCCCTCTCCATCCCCACCTGTGCTGCTCCCCCACCCGAGGCCCCGGGAGGAGCCTGAAGGGGGGGGAGGGGAGGGTGTATCCACTGAGTTCCTTCATCCTCACAGCACAACGAGAGAAACTGAGGCACGGGCCAGTGACGTGCCCACGCCGGCCCCGCAGGGGGTGACCGCCCGAGGCGGCCTTTCCCTCCTGCCCTGCCCAGGCCCCACCTGCCTCTCCCAGTCCCCATGCTTCTGGGTCCCCATAGTTTTGTCCCCGGCGAAGTGAGTGAGGCTGAACAGTGGGGCTCTGGAGTCACCCTGCTGGGTCCTGCCTCCGTTTCCTCATCTGTAAAATGGGGCGGCTGATCCCCACCCACAGCAGGTGCCCAGAGGACTCTCGCGGGCCTGGTGGGTGCACCCGTCCCGTGTATTGTCACTTGTAAGCAGTAAGTTGGTGGCAGGCGTGGCACGTGTTCCAGCGCCACTCCCTGGCTGGGTGCCCTCAGGAGGCCCTTTGCTGCCCTGAGCCTGTTTCCTGTCTCTAAAGGGGGAGGTGGCAGCACTTGGCCACAGGGGCGTGGGCGAGGGCGGCAGCCGCTCACCGGTGTGTCCCTGCCCCCCAGGTGCACCTGCAGACGCAGCAGGAGGTGAGGATGCGCATGACGGGCATGGCGCTGCAGGTGGTGCGCTCCGACGGCGTGCTGGCGCTCTACAACGGCCTGAGCGCCTCGCTGTGCCGACAGGTGCCTCCCGCGGTCCCAGTCCTGGTCCCAGCGCCCACGTGCCGAGCAGCCCAGGCGGGCAGAGGGGGGGGCTGGCTCCAACGTGGCTGTGCCTCCTACCCACCATGGGTGCCCATGCCCATCAAAGCTACTCTCTCCCTTTTGAGGCTGCTCAGGAGGAAGGAACCCCAGGGCTGGGAGCTGGCCGCCGGGGTGGGCGCAGGACGGGCAGTGTGGGGTGTGCTGCTCACAGCGGGAAACAGCCACTTACAGATGGGGAAACCGAGGCCTGGGCTCAGCCACCTGTTGGCCGTGCAGCCTTGGGAGGGCTGCTCGTCCC